CAAGAGTTGAACAATAAGCCAACTATACCAACTCATATATATCCAATTCACAGAAACTCCATTATGTCAGGTGCTGAGCACTAGGGCCCAACTTCAGAGAAGCAGTATATAAGAGCCGTGCAACATGGTTCAATAGATTGTGTGATACAGAGAAAACATAGAACTAACATTTGGACAAACAAATAAGAACCATAATATGAATTGAGAAGCACTTTGGTGAAAAAGACAGTATCAAATCCTTTAAAACCACTTAATATTTGGATGAGAAAAATAGAATCAACTAATTACCAGTGTAGAGGCAGCTGGCAGGCAAGAAAGCGCATTAAATCAATCTAAATTTTGCTTACTAAATTGATAGATAAAAAAAAAATGAGAGAAATTCATACAATCGTATGCATGCATACCTTGGGTCTGCTATGGCCTACATATCTATGTGTGGGTTCAATTTGCACAAGAGTTGAACAATAATGTGATTAAAGAAATTAAGATGTTGAGGTTGATATAGTTAATAGTCACAAAATATAAAACAAGAAATTTCTCAAATCTGTTTTACTGCTTATAACAACACAAAATAAAACAAATATTACTTAAATAAGCATTAATTAAACAAAGTTCATCCATAGCACATAACAACAAATTACAACAGAGATTGCATTGGATTGAAGTGCGTGTGAGTCCCAATTTTTTTTGTTTTTCTTAGCTGTATATGTTGCTGAGTTGAAGAAATAGGTTTGAGATGGTAAGAGATGCAACCTGCGCCAACATGTATGGAGAAATTAGTTAATTCTAAGGATGCAAATATTAGTCAGCCAAAAAAAAAAAAAGGGGAAAAAAGAAAAATGTTCAAGAAAACATAAACATATATACCTAGGCTGGGCATTAGAAAGTGGACACAGATTGACCAGATTGATAATCAATGGATGACTCAGGAAATCCATTCAGGTGCTTGCTCCCTATGAATGAATAATTTAAAAAGGAATTAGCATCCAATTAAGGGAGATGGACATCTCATCAGATGCAAATCAACAGACATATATACCTGAGCTGAGCTGCGTGTTAGAAACTAGTCAATTCATAATTGAAACTCGTAGAGGCAAAAAGGAAATGCTAAAGATACGGATATTTAATCTCTACCGAAGTTTCCATAGTGTTGTTGTTCCTGTGAATAATCAAAAAAGGAATTAGTGAGACAAACATCGTAGGAGCAAATCAATCAAGATTAGATAATTGAGCAAATCAATGGAGATTAACACTTGGATTCATTCAAAAACAAGAGATAGAAACATTTTATTTATGAAATACCAGAGAGGAGAGAATGGAATGCAAGTGATGGAAAAAGGAAGACTAATGAGACTTACCAGATCTCACCATATTTGAGGAAAGGTAGGAGGACAATCTTATCGTCAGGATTCTCCCACTCCAACGATTCCCACCATTCTTTTGGATTGGAAATATAGATAGATTTGATAGTAGGAAGAGATGGTCGTGCGTTTTCCCTTCCAAGACAAAGGGGAATCCTCTTTACCTTCGGACAGAAAGATATATTGATGCTATTGAGAGATTCACAAACTATTACTCCTTTTTCGGGGCAAATTCTCTTCAATTCTGGTAGGAATTCCAACTCCAATATCCTTAATTTTGGAAGAGTGATCAATATTGGAGTAGTTGTTTGATTTCCTTCCTCTTCTTCTTCCCATCCTATTATTTCCTCCATCCCCCAACAATAATTCAACTCAAACAACTCCAAGTTTCGGAGGCCCTGACCCTGCAGCAGCTCACATGGAAAAAGCTTCTTCAATTTTGAACAATTGTATACCCTTAGCTGTTTAAGATTAGAAAAGATGTGAAGGGATATTGTCGGTGCAAGCAATGCTCTTGTTTTTTCCACTTTCACAACATTCCGCAAGTCAGGCAAAACCTTAAGAGTTAGTACTTCAAGGTTATTCATAACTGTCAAGGAAGTAGATGAAGATGATGACAAAGAGACCACACACACTATCCCTTCGCAGTATTTCAAAGCACAAGTTCGCAATTGAGTAGGATCTTTCTGAAAAATAGAAATATCACGGACCGCATTGCAGAATTCAATCCCCAAATCCTAAAGGTCATCTGGAAGGACAAACTCATCTTTTTCTCCCATCTCGCATCTGATTAAAATTACTTGTTTAGGAAGATCATTATTGTTGAACTTATAAAAATGCCCTTCCTCATATCTGCCTGTCTCTCCCACTTCGATAAAGTAATGACTGGGTCTTCCAAAAGGGTTCAACTTGCTAACAAAACTGCTGAAGTCTTTCACCCAATAAAATGTACCTTCAAACCATTCTAGCATCTCCAATCTTGCTACTTCTTCTCCTCTTATTTCAGTTGAAAAAATCGGATGTTTACGTTGGTATTGGAGGCGGAAGAGCTTACTGATTTTTCCTTCTGGTAGCACCCTCAGGTTTGGACAAGATAAATCAAGATATTCCAGATTTTCTAACATTTCAATGCCTTCAGGAGCCTCACGAAGGCCTGCTCCATCCAAATCCAACTTCTTCAGTGCTTTAAGCTTTGACAAGGAAGGCATGCGTTTTAAACTCTTACATCTACAGAGGATCAGTGCAGTGAGATATTCCAAGTTACATATGGAATTAGGTAGAACCTCAATGCCAGTATTAGACAGATCAAGAAACTTCAGTAGGGGCATGTTAGCAAAAAAACACTCTGAAATTTGTCTCAATCCTTCATTGCCCTCCAAAATCAAGGTTGAGAGCATCAAGCATTTGTGGGACATATTTTGAGGGATATATGATATTTCATTTTTCATGAGGGAGACCTTGTCTAGATCTTCATTCCATTCATCCTCATCCGGTATCTTTCTCAATCTCATTCTTGCTTTTACCATAAACCTACCAGGACCCGTGCTCTTGATGCGCAATGCCATGTCCCTCACAACATCATGCATCTTAACACACGCCTTACCATAGGCTTCCTCTAACAAACAACAGTTTAAAAGCCTATTTAAAATAGCATTTCCTTTATCATGCATTTCTCTTCTGTTTCCTAATTTTTGAACAGTTCCCTCACAAATCCAGTTTTCAATTAGATCTTTTCTTCTAATATTCCAATCTTCCGGATACAATGAGCAATATAAGAAACACTCTTGGATGCTTGAATTTTTTGGTAGACGGCCATAATTGAACTTCAAATGATTAAATATCTCATCTTCTGAATCTTTCTCCGTGTCCACCACACATTGACGCAATTCACGTAATGCATTTCTCCACTCAGAAATATCTTGTACTCCTCTCATGCTCCCTGCAATGACAACAATGGCCAATGGCAAACCAGCGCATTCAGCCACCATAAGCTTCAAAATCTCTTCCAATTTGGGAATTCGTAGAACATCTTGCCCAACCTTATCTAAAAACAAGTTCAAAGAATCTTTCTCTGGTAGAGGTGGAACTTTAACTACCTGACATTTCAAGTAGTTGCATACATCAATCGATCTGCTAGTAATAACAATTTTACACCCATTTTCCATTGTTGGTTCTGGGATTCCAATGCTGTGAAGAGTAAATTTATCCCAGACATCATCTAAGATTAGTGCATATTTAACTTTTTTCATAGCCTCCATCAGTCTTGATGCCCGGCTCAATTCATCCCAACAATCTGAAAGACTTTTCTTCATTGCCCTAGCAATGTGATCTTGCAATCTGAAAACATTGAGAGGATGTGATACTGTCACCCAGACAACCTTCTCAAACCTGCCAACCTCATTCAGTAATTCATTATGGATGTGTTTCATAACACTGGTTTTGCCAACTCCACCAATTCCACAAACTCCAATAATTCCAACCTCGTGACCCATTAAGTATTCCCAAATTTTTTCCCTCACATTAACCTCGCCCACCATATTCTCTGTTGGCAAAGTGATTC